CTCACAGACTTTTGCTTGTAGATCTAACTCTACAGAATCAATAAGTTCCCTGTAGCTTAATAGGAATAGTCCCACATCTAAAGCAAGAATGTACAAGTCTTGGGTACCAGGGAGCTACTATTGATATGGATGGTTGCAGAAAGTGTTTTTTTTTAATAGTTTTGCTTTTTATGCTGCATATTGTCATCATCAAGCTTATAAGAATTATTACGTATAGTGTGTGTGTGTGTATATATATAGAGAGATTTGTATGCATGTGTATGTATAATATATGTAAAACATTATTGCATTATATATGTCATATATGTAAAATTAATTTATGTGCAATTTTTATATATTTATATATTTTTCTACATGTAAAGTATATACAAATATATATATGTACACACATGTTTTCAGACACACAAATTCTGGTCATGAAAAAGGCTTTATTTGTTTGTTTATTTGTTTATTTTACTTTCAAACTAACAGCTAAAAGCATAACGTTGATAATTCAGGATCATTCATTTACTCTCCATACTTACCATGCCATTTCAATTAATTGAGTTATGAAATGAATGACAAAGTATGATTAAGGAGCCAGGAACTTATATTAAAATATTTTTGGATAAGGGCAAAAACCATTTTAGGTGTATTTTGGCTCAACAGTAGAAGACCATCTCTATCGGAGCAGAGTCGAGAATTTACCTCTGGGATTATTATAGCATCCCTATAGTAACGAGCTATATGAATAGCATCCGAGAATCTGTTTTGTGTCTGAATTCACATGATGATTTTTAAGGTTAGTAGAATAAATAGACTCATACTATCGAGTACTCGTAAAACTCGTACCATCCCAGATGTCTGCGGGATCTATGGTGTAATATGCCACCATGATATGCTGTAACTACATTATTATCTTCAATTTTAATGAGGAGTATTTTCTTTGTAGCATAGCTTCTAGCCCATTACTCAAAGAAAGAGAGTGTTAGAGATTCTAGTTAGTACACGTGCGTGTGTGTGTGTAGAAATGCTTCTATGGTATGTGCAACTTTTTTCTATTCATAAATGCATAGAAAAAAAATCATAAATGGATGACTTGCAATGAACAAACACTAGTTAGTATTATCTATGTTGTTGCCAGAAAATGTAAATTAAGTTGGTTTCAACATGAGCTGAAATGAATGTGCTGCCAAATGTTATAGAAATGTTAGGTGCATTAAATTTTACATAGGATGGCCCTTATTTTCTTATTTTTTCAAGTTGCATTTAGCTGAACTTAATTTCTTAAGTCTGAGTGGTCTGGGATGGTTGTGGCAGGGATCTTTCTATGGAATTTTCTGACTTTCAGTGAGAATAGGTAGTGAATTTCACTCTGAAACATAAAGTTCTTGAATTCTTATCCCTTATGTATTGTGGAGTGGATCTTTTTGTTTTCCACCACTAGGGTAAAAAAGAACATACCTTCTATCAGAACAGCTCTAAAATTAGTAATGAGACAGCTCTCTTGGGGAATTTTGCCTTGCAGACTGTTCAGATGGTTTTCTAAGAATGACCTGAGTAAGCTGCTTCACAGAAATGACACATAGGCTTAAATGGAATAAATAGCTCTTTTTAGGTTTTCCAGGTTTCATTTAGTGATATGAGTAAGTAAAATTTAAAATAGAGTAAGATACCTAAATAGGCTTTTGGACTGTGTTGAATGATTGAAGACTGGTTGAGACTGGTTACTACAATAGGCTTGTCAAGAACATGTTTTGTTGCGAGATTTTTTATCTTCAAAAAGATTATCAATATAATTCCAGTAAGTAGGTCCCAAATGTCCAGTACCTAAGTTAATAAAAACGTCAAAGAATTGAGGAAGACTCTGAATTGGTTTCTTTAGTCTATCAAAACGTAGAGTTATTAGTGACTGTTTCTGAGTTTGTCAATTGCTTGGACACCACTGATGATGAAAACTTTTATTTCAGCAAATGTGAATGCATGCCATTTGGGACATGGCCTAGAAATTAGCACTGTGCTGCACACTTTGTGTTTGAAAGCAGC